CTTGTGTTCCTCAATGGTTATCACTAGGAGGTTAAGAAAATTTGTTGGTGCTGGTGTGGAGCCTACCTATGGTTAAGACAAGCAAAGAACTGGGAGGTATTGTGTCTCAAAGCATGATACAGTTGACCTAACTTCAGTTAGCTTTTGCAGTTCTGGGTTTAGAATTTCAAAAGCCTTAGGAAGGTGATCTAGGCATTATTTTTTTTAATTGTAGTTTATTATTTTATTTTGCTTTATTTGAGTTGAGGATTTACTATATAAGTACATGGCATGCAGGTAAAGTTTGGACTTCTTTTTTCTTTTTTTTTGGAGTTGGAATCTCACTCTGTCACCCAGACTGGAGCGCAGTGGCACGCTCCCGGCCACCACAGCCTTGACCTGGGCTCTGGTGATCCTTCCGCCTCAGCCTTCCAAGTAGCTGGAACCATAGGTGCGCACTACCACACCCAGCTAATTTTTGATTTTCTGTAGAGATGAGGTCTCGCCAAGTTGCCCAGGCGGGTCTCAAACCCGCGGGCTCAGGCAATCCACTCACCTCGGCTTCCCAAAGCGCTGGGATTACAGGCTGAGCCACTGAGCCCCGTCAAGTTTGGACTTCTAAAGGGCCCTCTCTCTCCTTGATCTTGAGCCTGGTACCCAGCGTGTTGCCATGTGCTCCACACCCTTCCTCCCTCCGTCCTCTAGCAGTTTCCAGCATCTGCTGATCCTACCCTTGTATTAGCACTATTTTATCACCGCTTCTTGGTTCATTCCAAACATACACATCTGAGCATTTCACATGTCCTTTCTATGACTGCTTTGTGGATAAAAGTTTTTAGAAACACTTACAAGTCTTATAACATTGTCAAGCAGACTGAAACATCTTTAGTTGTTTAACATTTAACATGATCAAAGACACAGAAAACTATCACCTGCTATTTGTATTGTTTTTCAGGGATGACTTAATTCTAAAAAAAAAAAAAAAAAAAGAAGAAGATGAATTATTTTACACACCAAAGAATCAAGTTCAGATTAACTGTTCCAGAGGAACAAGATGCCAATGTGGTGATGCCAAGAACACCACCTGTCGGATGAACTCTGCCATTGGTTGAACCCTGCCACTGGCTCTGCCTTCAGAAGGAATTTGCTTGGAACTTAATATAGGATAAATACCTTGTCAGTTACTCATCAGGGACTAAGTATATAAGCCAACATCTTCAGTACTGTACAACTAAGTCAACAGAAATATTAAACAAACTAGAAGGGATGCACGTATGTCCAGGTTTTTTTTTTTTTGGTTTTTTTTTTGAGTTGGAGTCT